TTTGTTAATAACTTTCGAGCATTAAATTTAACTAACATAGGAACAGAATAAACTACTGCTATTATTGGGTCATGGAAACAGGCATTCGTATATGTTATTAAAACCCAAAAGGTAGCCCTTATATCTCTAATACACGTATTACATGCATCAGCTCTTTGTATATCGTTAAATTCTCCTCCTTTTTGTATAACAGAAGAAGACAGACCAGATTTTAACCAGAAGCAGCTTCTCCGATGCGTTGCGTAAAATATCCTGGCTAAAAATTATGTACAACCCATTCAATATCCAAATATTTAGCAAAAACAGAAGATGATGTACAAAACCTCTGACTCGGTGGAAATTAAACTCGAGACCGATTAGTTATTTGCCAATTTATTTTTCGGCTTTTAGTAATCAATTAAACTTAACTATTGCGTTGCAACAATAAGTTAAGCGTTTTGTTTTATCGTAACCAGAAGTTAGTCTCCACGTATAGCACCACGCATACATCATGTCATGTGCAATGTTGTCAGCCCAGCTCAGTTCTAACTGATCCATGTCAACACAAAAGAGAGAGGTTGCTAGGCCGGGGAGGCAGCGTCCAACCATCAATATGGAATCGCATTGTCGCATCGGACGGCCACCGCAACGGCCGCGCGTTTAATCTGCGCCCGCGCATCGCTATTGTTTGTACGAGTGACGATCGATTCGTAGTTGTATGATGTGGGTACTTGTAATGTCATAACAATATCGTGCTTGTTGACTTTATACAGATCGTGCATTTTGCTTTGTGGTTTTATCGGAAAATATATTACTAAAAGGTTTTATGTATGCTTTATAACTTAAGTACGAGATAGTGTGGAAAATGTTTTGGAGGTAGTAAACTATTCTATTTTATTGCAGTTAAATTGATGTTTTTTTTGTTTCGAATGGCATTTGGGTTGTAAACTGAAGTTGTATGTGACAGAGAAACGTGCATAGTTACTTGTTTAAAATTTTACAATCTAAAAGGAAATTTACTAGATATTTTATAACACTGGTAGAAGTGGCCTACGGGTATGTTGTATAGTAATCATTGCCAATTTCGAAGAGGCCGATAACTAGCCAGAAACTACGTCAGCAGTTAGCAAGGGTACTTGATACAGAATAATCTTATCAAGATAATAATTATATCATTCAGGAAGTGCCTCGAGTAGATTATGGTGGACATTCTGAAAAGGGCGCACATATTTGTTTACAATTAATTTTGTACCACCTCATCAGTCGAAATGTTTTTCATTTTATTTTCGATTTTGAAATTCTATACCATCTCCCCAAAACGCTGAATCCTATTTATACCGGTTTTTCCTTAAAACGTAAAAATGAGTAATTTATACAAGCTGTTAAATACCGCAGCGCTCTCTACCTGTTTTCGTAAACTTCAATTCTACCTCCCCGTTTATAAACTTTAATAAAACAATTATGTCAATCAAAGTTTTATTGTCATTCTGAATGAAACAGCCTTTATTCCGCATACATTTGCGTGTCTCTTTGTTTATTGTGTGCCTACTGTTTTATCGCACGTCGATCTTAAAAGCCTTAAGACTGCTAATAATATAAGTAGTCTTTATCTTACTGGCGATTTTGTTTTTTTTTTTGTAAAGCTAACTAAAAACAAAAACAATCATTAACTTTTTCTACTTCTTTACATTAACAAAAATAAAGGGATAAGTTTTTATAAGCATATTATATATTTAACGTGATTGATTCCTAAAGTCTACGCAATGTCTACGATCGTAGATAAACTAGACTAGGATATCTTAATTTCTTAAATCCTATTTAGAAAATGTATACATATATATTTGACGTATATTTAGATTGTCTATCTTGCTAGATTTTATTATATCTATTCGGATTTTAACGTTAAAGCATTTTATTTTCTTACAATAAAAGTAGAAGCGAATGAAATTGTATGTGCTTATTGTAAGTAAAACAAACTCATTTATAGGACTAGGTACTTAAGACGTGCGCTGAAGATTCCCGAGAAGTGCTAAATGTATCCTGTAGACGTTTTAGTCCTTTGCATAAAGCCACTGATTTACGATTTACATTGCAATCATTTCCTAGAATATTTTATATTATTTTATTTTGAATACAGTGAAATATATCTGCATTGAACACATAACATTATTCTGTTTAATTTGTAACATTATTTTTATAGCGCACGATTCATTTTTAAGTACTTTTTGAAATTTACTTACTGTCCTTAACGTTAATATTGACTGCAGAATAGACAGAAGAAGTACTTAATAAATGTCTCTTTCTGCCCTCGCATTGTCTAATAAATGCGCACAATATTCATTTTGCTTCTATTTCTCTAATAAATTACCTGGTTTACGTGAGTCATTTGCTGTGGGTGCCTCATTGATATGCGCAAGCGCAGCGCTTAGGAAGTGCATTCGTGTTACACCGAGTTGTTTAAAAGGAAAGTCGTGTGCAAAATTCAATAATCGCTCTCGGTGTTCGCTCGAAATTTGTAAAAACTTTCAATATGTTTACACATGTAAAGGTGAGTTAGTAATTAGGATAAACGTAACATTGTTAATTGTGTTGATAATACTCGATTATATCATAAATATTTTGACTGCTGTTCTTGTGAGCTGATATTTTTTTAATAGTACGTAGTTGCAAAGCAAAGTCTACATTGTAAATTGTCGTAGGAATTATGTTAACAAATAGTTTAATTCAGAACATTTAGGTTTGACTTTGACATTACGGGCAAATCATCTGGACGACGATTCAAATGCTGCAAAGCATTAAAAATAGGTTTTAACCACCGCATGAAATTAACCAGTTCCTTCATTATTTCATAACAGCAAGGAACGAGAGTAATAATATTAATAATCGAACAACAATATAAGGAATCGTATCAGGAAAAGCATTTTTCACTTCCGGTAGCGCAATAAAGCGAGAATTTGATAAATCCGCGTACGTTCAATGTGCTTTCAAGGCGACCGATACAGTGCTGGCGAGATAAAAAACATCTCGAACTACAACTATTCTTTTATCCGTCATATCACTTTCCATTAACGGTAAAAATCGTGGTACGTGACTGTGAGGTAATTAAAACGGTCCGAAGCCGCGTAACACCGTAACTGGCGCGGCGTTTGGTAAAAAATTGGTGGAGAATTGACGAGTTTATCAAAATACGGTGGGTCGACGACCTTTGTTGTGTGCCACGGTACAATAATATTTGCTCAGTGCTACGATATTTCCTAGAAATGTTTATTTATTTGCTCTGTCGCTATCGCACTGATTGAGCTGTTGGGGAATGTAGGAAATTTTCGACAGCGAACAACAATAAGTACATTAAATTATCATGTACTTGAAAATGTATTTTCCTAATAGAGATCGCATTCTTTATTATTCCTTCGTGTAGAAGGTGTCATAGAGGCTTTTGTGGCTCGACGAGAAGTTGGATATAGTGATTTTATTGTTCTTGTTGTCTCAGTTATAAACGTCGGAATAACAGTTAGTTGAACTCGGTTACTAGCGGAAACAAGTAAGCCTAAATTATAGTCTGTTCTGGCTGTCGAAGTGGAAACCTTAAATAAGGAAACTGTTAAACTAAACCATAAACATTTTGGTGCCGTGCAAAGCTGTTTTTTGTATATATATGATTTAATAAATCCAACACAAACACTCTTGCCATCAAAAATTTCAACATAGTAAACTGTTACACAATATGCTTTTAAATAAAATATTGTACAAAAAATCTCCACTACATAATTAAAATGGGTCCTCCCCAACTCTAGCGAATCCACTTTTAATAACTCAAAACTAAATCTCATTACCCTTTCAAACCACAATGAGCCTGTTTAAAAGCCTGTACAGTTGTCCCAGTTTGGTTTTCAGTTATGACTTGTGAAGTGAATTACGCCGGATATTATGAAAGTGCTCTCTAGCTGTGAATGCCCGCCTGTTTCACCTACAATGGCTTTTTGATTTACGAGTTCAACATCGCGTTGCGCGCTCGTGATTAAATATTAAAATTGAGGCGATTTTTAACTGTGCCATGTTTGTTTGTAACGGTGTTATGTAATCAAGATGTAGATCGACGCTGATAACAATGTTTTTGTAAGCTTATAGTCTGTGCATCCTGTCATTCATAACGGGAGATTACAAAGTTGTAACCGGAGTGGCCACCTGCATTTTAAATTTAAAAACGTTGTGAAAATATATCTTAAAACTAGCGCCCGCAGTGCCTACATGGGATTCTTTTGGAAACGTTTTTATAAATTATTATTGTTCACTTTGACAATCGTTTTAACTGTTTGCTCCATCTAATATTTGGCACAGAATTTGTAAGTTTAAGTAAATAAGGCATATTTGAGTTTCTACATAAAATTTTACTCAAAACAGAATATTAACAACCCACAATCAAACGCTTAACAGTATCTGGTTTAATTTATAACCTTTGAAACTGTCGAAGCGAATGATCCTCGGCCTATAATTTGCTGCAGTTAAATTGCACTCGTACATACTAATTTGAATCGTAAAGCTTTAAATTCAATTGGAGAATAATTGCTTTTTATTAGCGTTAATTATATTTTAACATATAACCGACTCATTAAGAAACTGAATTGAAATAGTTCGCAGTATTATATTTTACGAAAGAGAATTTAAAGAGAGATAAATAAATAAGCTGCCGTGTTGCTACTACGAAAATGTGGCGTCTCTAATATCTACGTCCTGATAACGCTATGAAATCAGAAGGTAGATTATACCTCGGATATCAATTGTCGATGTTAATGACCCAAGCAAGGCCAAAGCCCTTCTTGCATAAAACTATAAAACCTTTTAGTAATGTAGAGCTCGACTCACTTCGCAACAAAATAATCGATATCGCGTATCTTTATGACAATCAAGTTCAACGCGAGTTTATTCATGTTAATATTATAGAGTCGCTCATGCAAAACGTGTGCATCCTAAGCGAATAGTGGAAAAATGATACAGTGATCTTGAACTGATTGAAATTCAAAATGGGAAGCGGAAGGTTCGGGTTTAACAGTAAAAAGGACAAAGTGGATGCATCAGAGGCTAATAAGACTGAGTTTAGTGTTAAGGAAAAGTGTCAAAAATTGAAAAAGAAATTAAAGAAGACTGAAACGCAAAAGACTGAAGAAAGCACCAAGGAGAAGACGATATGGTGGAACCAGTGCAATGGACGTGAGTAAATTACCTAAAACCTAAATAATAATTTATCCATTTAACGATACTAATTTCAATCATAGTTCCAAATTATATTCTAAATACAATGTAATTGCGCCGTGAAGATATTTATTACTTTACAATTTGTTAATAAAGAATATATTTAGATATTTATTGATTCAATATTTAACGAGTTATTACTATGATCTGATATCTGAAGCTTGCTTCTGTTTTATTTCTTATGTAGAAGCCGCGGCAGAATATCTTGATGAACTTTTCAAATCGGCATTAGGAGGTTGTCTTTATTCAAATCCATTATGCGGCCCTTCAAGGGCCGTCCGGCTTTGCAACGCGCTTTGAATTTACAATGAAGGGAAATTAGAGTAACCAAGGTTCGAGCTTTTGAAATCGACCAGTACCAGCTATTCAAAGCCAACCGAGGCCATAAATACGACCTCAAACGCCTTCAATTACATGTGGGCCCTTCTAAACATCCATTCGTTCATTTCGACATTGACTTTCGCGTGAATAACCCTGTCCCTAATTCTGACGGGCTCGTAGGTCTAATGGTAGCAATGTATGGCTGATAATCAAGTGATCGCGGTTGCGATCTCCATTAGATCCAACATCTTTTTAATCATAAGTTGATCTTTGAGTTTATCTGGAACATTTTGGTTTTCGTCTGGAAACTCCGACCGGGTCACAAAAACGTAAAAAGCCGTAAAGTTTAATTATTGCAATTTCATTTTGCAGACTTGTAAATATCTAAAGCTGAAATAGGTCGACAGCGCATGAGATGAATCCTATGCTTGTCTATGCTCGTATCATAAAAATAGTCAAGACTTAGTCTCCGCGACAATCGCTTTATGCGATTAGAAATTAAGAGTGTACAACAACGATCTCACGTGAATAGAGTGCATTTTCTACAATTTTCTTTGTTTTCACTGACTGTGTTCAGTCTATTTCGCGGCAAAAGTATGTCAGTGGAAAGCGCGAGAGATTCTCGCGAAATCTGCGCGCCAGCAGATGCCGTTGCACGCCCCAACCACTTTCTAAACTAGCTTACAGACGCCGGTTTATAATCCAGGAACAGACTAGCCATGAAAGTTGACGTTCTGACATTTCCTGGTGCAGCCGACGCAATTGCTTAGTCATAGCACTGCAACAGATCGTACAGTAAGTCGTTTCCTACCATAAGACGGTAAAGGTCACTCCAAATTTAACTTCGTGTCTTTATCACAACGAATTGATCGTTTCGTGACAAATATATAATTCAGTTCTGAAACCTATAAGCGGTATTAGTACTAACTAGAAAACACGAAATGCAAAAACAATCTTTGTTATTCAAACAATAAGATACATTTTTTCAACGTTCTCAACAAATGCTTTCATTCAATCGTCTCAGTATTATTAGGCACTAGAACATCCGTACATTTAATAAAATAGTGTGCCAACGCGCATTATATTTGTTACTTTTTTATTACAACTTACGGTTTTGGCTTTTTAGGTGTTTCATGTGATGTGTCCCATTTGCGACTTTATAGCAAAAGAAAATAATCTTATCTGCTTAAAAATTAAAAATAGCATCTGCTTGTCTATAAATATTAAATTAACTAAAAAGGTTACCAACCAAGTAATTGGTTGCACACTCTAGAAATTGGGTAATGCGCCAGAATTACCAGTGAATACCTGTTAACCTCGTGACTTTAACTTTCAGATAAGTACGGCTAAATGAATCGTCAATCTTCATTTAAACATTTTATATTGAATGAGAGGCGACGAGGTAATTAACGGGCGACTTTAATTTAAAAACAAAACTGGATTAATTACGGACAATGCGATTCGTTCATGGTTTTAAATTTAATGCTTAAGGACTAAGAATTTATACATTATGAATAACAAACACTTTTTATTGCAGTGAGCGAAATCGATCAGTACCTATGGATGGTTGGCGGTTCAGCGGGGGCACTGGCTCTCACTGGTGTGGCCGCAGCATCAGCGTTCTATCTCACCACACGACCGAAGCCAGAAAAACCCCTCGTCACACTACACGAACAGAGCTTACTTGAATCAGTAAGTAAATTATTTAACAATTTTAGAATAGTGTCAATGGATTTCCCCAAGAGAATTTCGATAAAACAAGAATTTAAAATATCATGTGTAGGTACTCACGTAAAATACAGACAATACTAAAATTAACAAATTATAATTATATAAATATATCATTTAATGCGTACCTAACAGTTTTAAACTTAACGTTCCCGCATAAGATGTACTTGCAAGCTATAAGGGAAGTATTAAGCGCGCTACACAAGCTTTTCATCTCGGGTGGCATGAATAATACTGTTATAATGTCATCCATAATAAATGCCACTACATCAATCATCCGTTCACATTCAAGTGTCGGAAACTGGTGATGCACACGTCATCAGCAGGTGTGCCTATCGGCTTCGCTGAAATAGTAGAAACGTCCTTAGGTCATCATTCATATCAATTGGGTATTAATTCGGTAGTTTTATGTTAGATGAGTCGCGTACTTGAAATTTTTTTTAATTGCTCCAAAATTACCTTTAATACCGTGTACACACATTACATTTCTAATAGTGCAGTGTATCTTAAATTTTACAGAAAAGGTAACCAAACCAACAACAGGAAAAACTTAATATTGTTATTACATTTTTAAGTTTTTTTTTTTAAATAAAGGTTGATATATGGTTGGTACGGCTTATATTTATAGAATTACAGTGTACGTTATTTAAATATATTAGCTAATTTTACGATAACGCTTATCAACACATTTCTTATCTCGTCCCGTGGAATTCGTCAACAAAGCCTACCATTTAAAATTGAAAAAGAACTCTGTAATTGTCAGACAAAACATAGATTGTAAAGTTCGCGACCGATAAAGGTTTTATTTTGCGATTATGATTCACAGTGGGACTATGATAACAATATACTTTTGCGCACGTGATAATTACACCTAACGTTTAGCTTTATCAAATTTATTTCTTGTAAACACCATATGACTGATTTACATAAATAAATAACGTTTCCTTGTATTAGCAAAATTTAGTTAAAACAATTTCTCTGTTTGACTGTTAACGTTTATTAATTAGTACGTAGTAATTTGTTTCCAAACCTTACTAACTAGATTTATAGACAAAGAAGCAATAAAGCAGTTGAGTTGAGTAGCTTTGTATAACGATGAATATTCCTTGACCACGTATTGAATGAGTTAAGATAATATGATAACAGGTTAGGAAGTTATGTAATTATACAGAATACATAAAATTTTTAAAGTAATAATATTGATGCAATTCGTGAAAGGTGAACAACCTAAATTTTCAAATGACCTAGGTTAAAATATAAGCACTGAATGTTCCACGATAAAGCAGAAATCCTTATAACTGGGCACCAAAGTTCAAGATGTGCACAGCAAACGTCCACTCTCACACTTGGCAGTGCGCATCTTCGAGCGGTATTTATAGCTCATTGTGGCAAGATCTACCCTGGCTCTCTCATGTCAGTCTCTATAGCTCTGTAGCGAAAGTGACACTGGAAAATTAATTCCACTAAACCGTCAATAGTTTGGAAAAGTTCATAGTGGTGAAACTTACAACCGTTTTACGCGCGCTGTGATTGCGCAATTCAGTGATGGATTTTGGATCTAGTGATCATCGGTGGATTTAGTTTGTAAAAATGTCATGCTGCAACTGCTGCGTCGGAGTTGCTCCTATTCGACCTCCCATTAGTCTCGCTGATCAATCAGAGAGCATCAAAGTAAGTGAGCCTGCAGATACAAAAAGTGCCAAAGTAGTGAAAGTGGTGTTTTATCAATTATATGTGTGGAGGTGAATCGAAATGTATATAGTTTGTTGGCAGACTCCTGATGTAGAATCGCCACAGACTATAGCACACCGCAATCAATGATACACCAATGACGAGATGGAAATAGATGTCGTCCTTTCTAGATTGTCTTAGATGTAATTGTCAAAATCGTAAAGAATGGAACATACATTTCATATATTTCAATGTAGTTTTAGGTCAACAGGAAGTGCTTTTAAAGTAATAACCTGACTGACTGAATGACCTGACTAGTGGGATACCAAACACGCAATAATTAACTTCTGTGTGAGGTTAGATTTTGAAATTTTAAATCCGTGTTATTTTGTTTCTATAAAATACTTCTACCAATTTCTATCTGCCTCTTGCGCTGTTTTTACGAAACGTTTTGGCTCGTTCATTAAAATATGTTGTGTAGTTAGCGCATGGCTGCAACGTAAGTACTTGTACACACTGCATACTTCTTTGTACCGACAAACACCGTCTTTTGCCGCCTTCGTCTAGTAAAAAACATAATTCGAGGTTAAAACGACGAAGATAATATATTTGATCATTTCTTTTTTTATCTTTGTTTATAAATCATTGTATTGACAAAGTAAAGCAGAAAGGCCTAAAACAATTGAAGTATGAATTTAACGTTTTGTTTGTTTATTGAACTCTGATCAATGTGTTGAATCGTACAAAATATTCAGGACAGTTTAGTCTTGAGATAAGTAACCTTACTATAAAGGGAACGATAAAAGTACTACATAGTGACTATATAATTTCTTTCTTTTGACAATTGAATTGAACCTCTGAATCGAATAAAGTTTTAAATCTCAATACGTATAATATTTTGTGACTTACAAAGTAACTGGACAGGAGGAGTGGGAGGTGGTAGGTTTTCCAAATACCAGCTCAGGTTTGACCTTGTTATTAGGGACACCCTCCATCTTCAGTCCTCCCCGTGACCTACGGCTGCTGCAGAGCATTAGAATATCGACCTGTAGTTAAAATGTATTTTATTAATGTTGTATTGTAGTAGAAACTATGGGTACATATAGTTTCTAGTGTACAATGGCGTTGTTATTATGTTACTATGGTATTAATAACTTAGTAAAAAGTTTAAAGTAGTATTAATATTTTTAGTTGTTTATTATTATTTTTTTATTACTGAATATTATACTGATAACATTGAATACTGATTATATTGTGTCTTCTTACTGAAAATATTTTTCTTTCATAATTTTGGCAAGATCTTCCACATGTCACGCGACTAAGAAGATAGCTATGTTAAAATGAACATTCTTCACTGACGTATTATTCATACACTTTACAGTGAGTCATACTACTGACTACTGAGTACTACAAAAATGATTTGAGATGACAATGTACGCTATTTTGTACACGCATAGTAATTTATCGTAGTCAAATTAGATCGAGAGAATCTACTCTAGGTCAATACAGTCAATATAAAAGATATTTTTTTTTATGTCAGTCAGTAAGTTATATCTTGCGCTATAACTGCGGTAGCTTAAAATAAAGTTCAATCGATATTGAAGGATCACATTCTTACAAAAGGCAGACACATGAAATAACCACGTAACTTGTCTTCTTATTTGTTCCATGTTTAATTGTTTAATATCATCTTAAACTATATTAATAAATAATACAGTTAAAATAAACGTATTTTTTACTGTCGGGATAGCAATAAGCCATCGGAGTTTGAGCCAACGCATAAATACTTTGCGGTGGCTATTCGCACAGTTTAAATTTCTATTTAAATACAACCATCATGTTTACTACCGGCGCGTCATAACATTAAACATTATCTTATAATGTGTTATGCGGAACTCATTCATAAGCCAAATACTCATACAATGTCAAGTATTCCAGTAATAGCCCTGATTATCATTCCAGATGCGGCAATAGAGTAAAATATTGCTTTTATATTGTACAGTCTCTACAGTATCGTTTTCAAGGTTTTACTTTTAATACTGTCTGTAGTTTACGCCAGTAGCACATTTTAATAATACTCCTTGACGGTTTAAAACGCGATATGTATTAGTTTAGCTTCTTTGGAGATATTTTAAACTACGGTCCCACGTTTCGGATGCTTTGCAGAAGCCGTGGTCACGGGGATATTTTTCTTTGCTAAATCTTTTTCTTATATATTAGTACCTGTTTTGTGTCTATCCGTTTAGACATTTATCATTATTTTTGTGTCCGGTCTAGGTCTAGTTTTGTTACGTTATTAGACATCTTGGTATTCTAACTGTTTTGTACGGAGTCTTGAAGGCATCTTAAGGCACTTCATTCTCTGAATTATCGACATGTAACGAATCTAGATATTCATGAATCTAGCCAAAAATCCTCGCAAAGGAGAGTCGATTTTTTCCAAGATTAGTACGCGAAGCAATTGAAATCAAAAAACACCGAAATTTCAATAGGGAGGACGGCGTCAAATTATCAAACACCTGGGATCCCATATTAAAAACTCTGGATCTCAATAAACAGCATACCGGCAAACGCGAAGACACCGTTAGTAAATTCTGCAAGGACCCGGCCAGTTTCGCCAAATACCAACTTCGACGGACCACATGGCGCTAGCGTAGCAATTTTTAATTTGACGTCAGAGACATCCTCCATATTTAGTCTCCCCGTGACCACGGCTGCTGCAAAGCATCCGAAACGTCGGGCCGAAGTTAAAAATCATTTTCAAATCAGTTTAACTAATATATCGCGTTTTAAACCGTTAAAGTGTTTTATTTAAATAGATATTTTTGTTTAAATGAAAACTTTTTGCACACTTTTCAAAGAACTATTTGAAGGGATTTCGAATAGTGATGAATCTAAAAATAATTCAGACAGCATGTGTGTTATGTCACCGAGTTTTGTTATAAATACACCGGGTCGTGTGACCGCACAACTGTCGACACAATAATTTACACACAAAATGTCTATTTCCCTATCAACCTTGTCGCTGAAATTCGTGAGCATCTTGTAAAGTTATTTAAATGTGTGTTAGAACAACGAGGTCCTTTTCTATAGCGAACTGTAGACATTATTTCTCAGTATAATAAGGTCTCAATGATGAGACGTTACGTAACATCTATCACTAACTGTGTCAGCGACTTCGTCTGCGTACAATAGTTATTTTAGTTAAATTTGTTTTTGCAAACCTTTTCTTCATTTTAAAAGATTTAAGCTATTGTCCACGACGTCTTTATAGCAAGTTAATCTTAAAAGATAAACATAATTTTTTTTATTATTCAAAGAAGAATATTTTTTTGTACATATTTTTGGATATCTTATGCAACGGAAACCCATAAAGATTATATATTTTATCCGGATTTTTCTACATTTCCCGCTATAGCGTATAGGCGTAACGACGCAACGTGACGTTACGCCTATAACCTTCCTCGATAAATGTTATAACCAAACAATGTTTTTTTTAATTTCCACTTGTGAATTCTGAGATTAGCGCGTCAAACAAACAAACTCTTCACTTGTATATATTAGTATAGATATATTTTATAATTCTAATTTTTTCAAAGTAAAAATGAGACAATAGGGACAGAGTCATCAAGACAAAGGTAAACCTATTACTTTTTCTCTTACACCACTAACCTATTAAAAATTCGATCAGCGTTCACGCGGTGGAAATTCAATCAACTAACGTAGGTATTATACCTATATTTCCAAAGACAATTAGTTTGAAAGCATTTATCACTGACAATTTGTGGCATTGTAAACTATTAACATTTTTAATTGAAAACTCAATACCATTGCATCATTAGTTTCCTAGAGTCTAGAATGTTCACACCCAACCTAACATTTAAACATATTTTTGTTGACTATTTGACTAAAAGATAACAGCGATAAATAACCTATCCCACAATTTCGAATCGAAGCTTGCAATGGCAACAAAATTAGTCAGAAATTGAAGTATCACAAGCATTTAAGTCGTTGATAATAAACATTAATATAAATTTACTAATTTGAAATACACAAATATATATACATACATACATTGAAGATGTCTCTGCTTTAAATCTTCGATAAACTGCATATTCATAGACGTAGAACATCTTGGACGACTTTGACCCGCTCTTGGTCTCAATTCCAAGCATAAAAATACCGTAACACGTAAGAGTGTTCCACAAATAAGTTACAATAACCCTAAACGAACCAAACGGGTTAACGGATTTTCTATTCGCATACATTTCCTAAACTCGTATCGGACATGTTTATTTGTACAGTGCACATATTATTATGTTGTTTGTACAATTATATTTATATACTAACTGTGTATATTATATTCAACTATGTATATTATATTATATACTAACTGATCCGGCAAACGTTGTATTGTTGTTTGCAAGATTAATATTACAATTTGACCTAATTAGACTACGCTAAAAAGGTTCCAACAAAACTTAAAATTTAAAGAGGAATAATGTTTTTATGAACTTATTTCTTTGCACTACCATATTTTTGTTGATGAACTTTTTGTTCTATACATCACCTAGCTATTCAATATAACATTGATGTTAGGCATAGCGTAAACCGCACATAAAAGGATTACTACTGAATACGGTTTTTCGCTTGTTGGGATTCAGAACGACGACCTTTTGTTGCTATGCGACATATAATATCACCTGTGCTGACCCAAGTCGAAGGTAAATGGTCATAAGAGAGATAAAAGTTTATAATCGTGAAATACTTCTGGGTAGTAATTTTATGTGTGACACTCTACATGGAATCTAATAACGAAGTGTTGATAAACTACATAATAAAGCACTTTAACGGTTTAAAACGCGATATATTAGTTAAACTTTAAAAAAAGTTTAACTAATATATCGCGTTTTAAACCGTTAAAGTGTTTTATTTAAATGTGTACTACTCGCGTAAACTATAGACAGTATTTACATAATAAAGATTAGATTTATTGAGTTGCATGGTGGTTTTAAAATATGGTAACCTAATTAACAGAGCAGAGGGTTCACACAGTACATACGCGTCTCCTCGCTTCTCTCGTAAGTCCCACCTGGAACACGGCGTTATCATTACTCTCTGCAACATTTAAATTATGCGTTTATATATATGATTAAGTCTCATTTTCTGAACTACACGTGTACTGTACTGTACTCATACCTCAAAAGGACCATACAAGTTTAATTCAAACTAAACAAGCCCCCACTAATCGTAGCATTATGTTGTTTCAGGGTCCAGAACTAGTTCGCGTATCAAAATTCTACAAAGAAGCAAAGAACGGTCGATTTCTTCGATATCTGCATGATGACACGCGCACTTTGTACGAAACCTTCCGCAGAGGTGTCAAAGAATCAAGTAAGTGTTTTTCTAAAGAATATTTTAAAATATCTTTCATATCTGAAAAAGATATAACATGTCTACAAAGAGGTTTTTAGTGATCATGAGCATCTAATAAAAATAGACGCACGAGTAATATACAGAATTAACATATGCAAAGCTAATTACTAGATCGCCGCTCTTACAGTGGCATTCTTGCGGTGCCCTTATTTCGCTACTGGTTACATGTTTCCGTTTGCCCAAGATAAACACGATAATGACACGGGCGAAGGCTTCAATTACCATTCTACAACATATTTACATGTTCATAAAAGACACTTGAATGCAATTAACTTGAAAGCTCTATAAATGAACCTAGAAGATAAAATAAAGCGTGGCGATAACTAAAATAAAGTTCGGGTTTTTCCCGAGAGACACTTTAAAAATAATCACGACGTCAGAGAACCTTAATCTTCCTTCACCTTCGCGAAACTGTAGGTTTCTGTTGACTTTAAAAATATTAATGAGCTTAGGAACAGGTGTCGTGGCTATAATTTTATAATGGTTTTCACATGACAACTCTACAGCTAGATGCTTAAACGAGTTCAGTGCGAGACAATAGATTAAGTACTGTCTGTAGTGTCGAGTAGAACATATTGAAATAAAATACTTTTAAAGCCTAAAGACGCAAAATGTTAAAATTATATACAATTTGTTGTACTACGGCCCAACTTTTCGCATGCTTAGCAGCTGCCGTGGACTCGCTTTTAAACCATTAAAATGTTTTATTTAGATTAAACAATTAACTGTTTCTGTCAGACAGGCCATTGGAGTCTCATCAACTACTAGAATGTAAAATGACTGTTCAATGAGACTCACAAATATGTACCCCAAGGGTAGAAACGGGATATCACTATTCCCATATGAGAAGTAATAACTAGTTTGCCACATTAAACCTGGTACAGATAAAACGATCATCATTTTTGTTCTATTATAAACTCAAATGATTTGTAGTTGTGTAATTTGTATCTTAAGCCAGTTTTTCCAAAATACCGTCCTGTTATTTCTGTTGGTAATAATACATTTACCATTTTTTTTTAACCATAGAGTAAGTTCAAGATCATTAATATGCCATTCTTTTTCAAGATAATGGCAACTGTCTCGGTTGGCGCGAGGGACCAAATAAGCCGTACGTGTGGCAGACATACAATGAAACCCTTCTGCGGGCGAAAAACTTCGGTTCGGGTCTCATATGCCAAGGCGTCCCTCCGGGCCAAAACACTTTTGTCGGTAAGCAATTTTCCACTTAAATCCTTCCAATGTTGAAATTGACTCGGACTTCACAAAATTACTGGTAATTGGGTAGTTTAGTTGAAGGCTTCGCTTTTCAGGTATTTATGCCCAGAATTGTCCAGAGTGGATCATGACGGAGCAGGCAGCTTACTGCTACTCGATGGTTATAGTCCCGTTATACGACACGCTGGGAGCCAACGCATGTGCCTTCATTATAAATCAAAGTAAGCGTTTTCCATTTATCTCGTTGTGACTTGTGCAAATAGTCTAGTAATAAACTAGATACTAAATATGTGATATTCACTTGTAACTACGAATCTTCGTTTTATGCGTTTCTTTTCAGTTCGAGATAATACATTAAAGTAAAAGGAAACAATCTTCTTTGTTGAAAAAGCTTTTTAAATATTGAAATGCAAAGTGTATATTATGTTATTATAAATGTATGTATTATGTAAACACAATTACAATTTACAAAAGGCGTCCCGAAATGTGTACGTACTTCTTTATTTGGATATTTATCCCTTTATTTACCTTTTTTCGCTTCAAGTTTTATTTACCGATGCTTTTTTCTTTCAGCTGAAATGTCTATAGTTGTATGTGAAGATGACAAAAAAGCGAATTTACTGCTGGATCAGTCACCGCGGTGCCTCCGAAAGTTGATCACGATTAGGGAAGTCTCGCCGTCCACACACCAAAGGGCGAAGAGTCGCGGTGTGGAAATCCTAAAGTTCAGCGACGTCGAAATACAGGGGGCGCAGAAAGATCATCCTTGCGTTGTGAGTGCTTTGCGACTAACTTTCACTAGTCTCCTCTGAGGCCATAGCTAAGTTAATAATTATGAAGTTATTTTTATAATTGACACACAACATTGTTTGGTCGATGTCATACATTTTTATTTCATCATGTTTTTTCAAATTGGTAACTTCAAGATGGCCCTTGTACAAAGATATACGTACTTATTCACTCTTTTTTTCGATTCGAAATTTAATTTAAATATCTAAATTTATAAATCATTTAAAAATTATTATACAAAGAAATATAATAGGGGTAATAAGTTTGGCGCCTCGGGCAGACAGAATAGTGTATTTGTTCTTTTCGTGATCAACTCTTACCGCGGAATAGTAGGTGAGGAATGTTTCCACTCTTACTAGTAGCCGAAAAGTAAGCTATTTTATAAAAGAATATGAACAGGAGTAAGTAAATGGATTCAAAATTCATCGTATTTAAAAAAAATTACGCATTAAGAATTCTTATATAGTAAATACTGTCTATAGTTTACGCGAGTAGTAGACATTTAAATAAAACACTTTAACGGTTAAAAACGTTAAAAATCACTTTTAAATAAGTTTAACTAATATATCGCGTTTTAAACCGTTAAAGTGTTTTATTTAAATTCTTATATAGTATTTGTCTTCAACTTCTGCAGATAATCTAGAATACTACTAACTATTTCTGTACAACATTTTCTAGCCCCCACATCCAGACAATCTATGCACAATCTGCTACACGTCCGGGACAACGGGGACCCCTAAAGGTGTCATGTTGAGTCACGAGAACGTGGTGGCCTCAATGTGCAGTGTGACGATGCAGTTGGGCGAACACAGGCCGACCAAGCACGACGTGATGATCTCCTTCCTGCCTCTCGCGCACATGCTGGAGCGGTGTTGCGAGGTGAGAGTCAACTCGAAATTAGAACTGAAACGACATCGTTCTGTCGTTTCAGTTCAAAGCAGAACTAACCGCCACTGTAAGATAAACAGATGTCAGACATTGGTAGTAGTAGTGGTTGTAATAGTAGTATGTATAGCTCATAATCAACGAATCGTGGGTTAGATCACCACCTTGTCTAATAATCATTTCTAATTAATTAAATACTGTGTGTAGTTTTCGCGAGTAGTACACATTTATATAAAACACTTTAACGGTTTAAAACGCGATACATATTAGTTAAACTTATTTTAACTACGGCCCGACGTTTACCCGTAACTGTAGCTGCTGCAAAGCTGTTGAGGCTGAGGCTGTTTTATTCTAATTGAACTATAATTTTTCTGAATCATTTTGGGCTTTGCCTGGAAAACTGGATATTTAATGGTTGGGAGGAATATCGAAATTCCGCCGAAAAAAGCCGTGAAATTATATCGCGTTTCGTTTTAGGCCTGTGGAGTTCCACATAACCGAAGCACTATGGCTTCTTCAGGATAACAGCGTATCTTGTTGAAATTCTATATGCTTAAGGCATGTCATTTTTCTATTAAGTAAGCCTTATTTGTTCTCCTTTATCATAAAAATAGTTATGTCAATGTCCATCCTGGTCTTTGATGCTATAATAAACAGGATTTCTTTTAAGAGACTCAAATGAAGATTTGCAACACAGCTGCTATACATTAACAACCTGTTATCTGAACTATACAACAAATGGAAACACACCACGGTCTCGTGGATCCATCAATCAAATCATTGGAGCATTTCGCAAATGACAGTTAAATTATTACATTGACGTTGCACAATTTAATAAATGTGAGAAACCGTTCCGAGAACCAAATTGGCTTTCTAGACTTCTGACGTTGACTGATGACCAATAGTTTCCTGATCTGTTGCATGCGTTGCCGCCCACTCGTTGCCGCAACGTTTAACGAGAAATTAAATGTTTGAAACAGCATTATCAGGCCGTTTTACGACAGATATAAAATATGGTTTAACATGTATATTTCTGTCAGGCGCTTATTTATATATAGCTGGACTGTCATTGTCATGTACATTAATATTAGCCCGTGAACTTTGCCAGAAATAGTTTGACTCTTTTAGTTAATTCTAAATTTCAAAAACGGTTGCGGATTTTTATATGTAATTTCTATATGCCCTTATTTTTGCTAACCGCCCCTGTAACTAGATAGTTGAATGTGTTGCCTAGCAATGCGTTAAGCGCGAGAGGTCCTAGGTTCCCCAGGAAACAGTAAATTGTTTCGGTTGGGCAGAGCACAGAAGACTGATCAACTACTTGTCTGTAAATAAAACCGATCAGTGAAACGTTACGCCTAAAGAAGCTATGCTAGCGCCATCTGTTTCGTCGTAATTGATATTTGGAGAATTATTTGTAAAAGTATAATTGTAATATGTAATAATGTTATTTCGTGTTACAGAACGCTCTCTACATGGTCGGAGGAGCTGTGGGCTTCTACAGCGGTGATATCAGACGCATAGCAGATGACCTGAGCGCGTTGAAGCCAACCATGATGCCGGCTGTACCGAGACTGCTGAACAGACTGTACGACAAAGCCCAGAGCGAAATATCCAGTTCGAAAATAAAGAAACTATTATTCAATATGGCTCTATCAGCTAAGGAGTCAGAATTAAAGAGGTCGGTATTCAAACATCTTTGTAATATATCGAAAATTATTTAAACTACCGAAAAAGTTGTTTCTTCGTGAAATAATGTACATAAATACTTTAACTAGCACTCGAGTAACTTAGATAATATGATTATAAATAGGTTGAGTAGATTCTGTTCCTTTCATCTCACGGTTTTTTGGTGTACCTATACAATAACTCGGATCATCGATCAAGAAAAACCTAATAAATGATTCTATTTTATGATGAATAATCGAGAATTTATTGTAGTGTTTTAATTTTGACTGTTATAATTCAAAATTCTCACTATAAGTATTAAATTGCGACCTTATCATCATCATACAAAACGAATTTAATTGCAAAGAGAGAAGGAGATTGTTCTCAATCCCAATCACCACTGCACTGGTGGTTTCTGCTGCTACCTTTATATATCCATAATATTTATTGTATTGATATTTTTTCAGAGGTATTATCCGGTCTGATTCGGTGTGGGACAAGCTCGTATTCCGCAAGGTTCGTGAGGGTATGGGTGGTCGCCTGCGCATCATGGTGGTTGGGTCTGCACCTCTAGCTGGCAATGTTCTCACCTTCGCGAGATGCGCCCTTGGTTGTTTGGTGTGTAAAATATTTACAATTTTTTTCGTGTCTTTGACTAGAACTAACGTTAAATACTGTCTATAGTTTACGCGAGTAGTACACATTTAAATAAAACACTTTAACGGTTTAAAACCCGATATTCGTCCCGATACCCGATCGCGTTTTAAACCGTTAAAGTGTTTTATTTAAATAGAACTAACTTTATAAAATTTTTGTTGGATACAAAAATTTAAACTGCGAAAAATTTCACGGAAGCTTAATCAATAGCAATTAAAACTTAATTAACAATAGCAAGCAAAAAAATTCTATGCAAAAAAAAACTTGGAATAAAAGCTTTTAAACTTGAGATTTCTACATCCCGACTTTTGGCATTACTTGTTTCCCAACAAATTTGCAGGAAATTATTCGCTCGATGTTTCGCCTTATAAGTGGATGACATCATTAGATGTAGAGCTTTCCTCGACTAAGTCTAATACATAAGTTATTTCAATTTATAAAATTACAATTATTACCAAACCTCACAATAAAAACGTAGAAAAAGCAAGTACGCGCTGTAAAATAATTGAACTTCGGGTATTTAACTTAAGTTTTGACTAATGTAGCCATATATTTGCCAACAAAGTCTGGCTATTTCAATTTAGTAGACAAACGTCTCGAATGGCTGAAGACGCCATCAGCAGTCCGCGTCTCAATTTAAGATCTCTAGATCAAAGAGACCGAAGCGAGTTCACAGATCGTCTCTCAATCGTCAATCTAGTGATGCGGAACTGGAGTATATTTAGCTGCAACATTTGAATGATATTTTCTATGATAATATTTGCTAGTAACGCCAAGGTTACGGTGCGGATAACATCCGAGATATTCTGGTATAAGTTCATATGATGAAAATTACTGGCGCCGTTCCTCATTTCCGATGTTTATTTTGGAATTCTAGCAGTTTTTGTAAAGACTGAATGTATGTCATAGATAATAAAGTGTATCTGCAAAATAAGACTGTTATGTTCCCAAAAAATTGTGGCTTGGAAACGTCTACAGGCATGCAAAAATATATGTATTTACGTTTTAATATAACAAATACAATAGATGATTACATTGTTAGAACTTTTAGAAGCTTTCCATAAATAAAGGTTTCTCTTGTTGTCCAGATCGTGGAGGGCTATGGTCAAACGGAGTGCACTGCGCCGGTTACTCTGACTGTTCAAGGAGACCATGTCCCTGAGCACGTCGGGCCTCCCGTCGCTTGTTGTAAAGTGAAGGTAGATATTACCTTTAGTAAAGTAAACGTTTTTTTTTAATCAATATCCTAACCTTTTAAATATATTCTACCTTAGAAGTCAGGTCATAAAATCGTTGTTTCTTTTACTATCTTTTACTTCCTGCGCCATATATTATCTTTTGTAATATTTTTTCAGCTAGTGGACGTCCCAGAAATGGAGTACTACGCGGCGCAGGGCCAAGGAGAGATTTGCGTTCAGGGTGCGAACGTTTTCAAGGGCTACTTCAAGGAACCCGAGATGACGAGGCAAGTCATCGACCAGTACGGCTGGCATCACACTGGTGATATTGGAAAATGGCTTCCAGTGAGTATTATGCTGGAATAATAAGTATTTATATCCATTACTATACAATCTTTATTATAGTAAATGCAATGAAAGGAAAATTACGTATTTTGCAACAACAACACATATATAGAAAATTTTTGATTTATTGGCTTAGATTAATTGTTATGTCCCTAAGTTTTACGTCTTTAACTGAATTAAGCAATAATTCTGTTGAATAACATGAAAGTTTCCTTTAAGAAAGATTAGCAAACTAAACCTTTCACACCTTTGCTAATCAATTGTAATCCCTAATTTTTCAGAACGGCACATTAAAAATTATAGACAGAAGAAAACACATCTTCAAACTGTCGCAAGGCGAGTACATTGTTCCTGAGAAGATTGAAAACATTTACATTAGAAGCCAGTACGTCGAACAAGTGTTCGTGCACGGCGAATCGTTGAAGGTAAATTATATTTTTTCGTCACTCTGCTAGATTCATCATAATTATTTGCGTTTGTCAGTCGTTGTAATAAAAATATCTTTATATTTCCACTTTCAAATATTATTTATTACCAGTCAACTTCCTTAATATTTTCATACGGTTTCGAGTTGGTCTCTTCTGCAACCATTACAATATCAGATGTCACTCCACTTGACATATGAGCTACTTTATTTTGTTTTTGATCTCACGAGGTCCATGCTCTTTGTTTGTTTTTTTGTATCTACAAAGCAACGTTTGGTCGTAGTTTCGTTTTTATTGTCGTCGTGAATATCCCTAGTTAACTGAAAAACTGACAGGTTTTACTCTTATCTGATGTATTCTATCTCTTGGTAGATGCCAGCTGGTAGAAAATCATTTCAAACAATAATTATCTTATTGGAAATAGTGATCTTAATTCTCACTCACAATCGTATCTCGTCTCAAAACAAATCGAAGCTGAGTAGCAATAAATTGAAGAGAACATAAATTGAAAACCGATGGTTAATAATCGTAAAACGCGATATACACTCGGGAGTATGGAATGTTTGTTTTAATGTCGGCATAAACTCCGAGTCTCGTAAATTTAACAAGTACATGTATCGTTAAGTAGTCGTCAATCAAAAGTTTTGCAATCTGAAATCACTGTAAATCTATCACATCTATCTTTATAGTTAGAAATGCATTTGGAATACGTACTGAGTTATTTATATAAATGTATGAAAGTAAATTGTTTATGTGTAATCGTATCAATGTAGGGCTAATAATTCACGTGTCTTGGCTTCGATTCGCATCATATTTCAAGCCATGCTTGTGTGTGTTTGTGGACCTGGACCTTTCATATAAAAAATATAATAATTGATTTAAATTCTTGTTTCAGTCGTGTATAGTAGCTGTTGTGGTACCTGACGTAGACGTGGTAAAGTGCTGGGCCCTGGAAAACGGCATCAAGGGTACATTTTCGGCTCTGTGTGAAAACGAAAAAGTTAAGAAGATGATATTAGATGACATGCAGAACTGGGGTAAACAGGCCGGTTTGAAAACATTCGAGCAAGTAAGTGTTGCTTATAGTTATAATATTATATTTTGTTAACCACAAACAATGCTGTATGCTTTGCTGGGAAGTCAAGTAAAATCAATGCAACCACAGAACAAGCGCCAGAGAAGAAGTAAACAGGCACAGAATTTTCATAGTTAGAATGAAAATCTTGATTAAAAACTATGAAAATAATATAGATACCTACAACTGAACTGCTTTTTACGATCTACCCTGTACATATTATATTTATTGAGAGATTATTTCAAGTAAGGTTCAAAAATAAGAAGACTTTTCAATTCTAAAAAATGTTCATCCTCTTTTCAGGTGAAAGACATATATTTGCACCCCGATCCATTCTCAGTGCAGAACGGACTCCTGACGCCCACCTTAAAAGCGAAGCGACCCGAAATCAAGAGCTACTTTAAACCGCAGATCGAAGACATGTACAAACAACTAGAATAGCAATAGCTTTTCATTAAATTAACACTTTGGTTAGGTATTTCGACAAATAAGTGTCAAAGAACTTCGTCGTGATGTTAGAAATCCGCTTAAGTTTTACTAACTTATTTAATAGTATATGAAAGTGATAAAGGGAGACAATTCTTCAAAAAGTGACTTAAAACTCGTCGGTTTGACGGTAGTCTGACAAATTTGTCAATTTTAGAATCACGACTGAGTAAGTCGCTATTTGAGAATCGGGACCCGGAATGATTGTATCCTGAAATATAAACGACTCATGCTAAGATTGCTATTAAGAAGCAATAAGGAAACAGCGTTTCACTTACGGTCAATTATATAACTGCAAATAATATAGTGATCTTTTGTATAATTGAGAACAATTCTACAATAATATTTAGGCAATGTTTGTAGGATGATCACGATAGCAATAAAGCGTATAAATAAGATAGAATTACGATAACAAGATGATAGTGAATTTCGAAGCCGCTATGGTATTCTGAAAGTAATTATACACGTTGAAGATATTAACGCAAATGATTCAGACGGCAAGTATGTCGCAGCAGACAGATGGTCCCAAGTCTGATGTTTACAATGGCATGTCACTGGACAGTAGTCTTGTAGTTTGCCATATTGTACTCTTAGTAGAGCACGATAGCTTTTCGGCGTCTTGTCAAACTTTTTGTAGTGTACGTTGCTTTCTCATGGTTTACAGGTTCATTTTGTACAAATGGACCTTATTAATAGCGAACCTAGTTATTTCAATTACAATAAAATTTATTTGTATTTTCAAATTTGCTTTAAGTAGAATAGAGACTATTGTTTGTCTGTCGCCGGTCGTAAAGTTGACTTGGGACTCATGAGAATGAAGTATTGCTTATAGCGTTAGATGTTTTGAGGTAGAGAAGTCGAAAGAATTGCTAATTCTGGTATAATGAGAGTTATTGATGCACTTTAGTTCCTTGTACTTTAATTGGTACTTAAAATGTAAAGTGGAAAGCTTAATAAGTTTTTCGTTCTATTTCACGCTATTGAAAGTATAAACAAAACGAACGTTTGCGTTTTCGCGGTTGAGATGTGAAATACGGTGTGCTTAAAAGTTTAAACTTTTATACTTATTGCTAAATGAGCCTGTTTTTCGTTTAAGTAATAGTTTTTGAACTACTTTTTTATCTTGCAGTTTTGTGTGCTAATGAAACAGAGGGAGAATCTCTTTTGAACGATGGACCTGTAGTCGATATTCTATTTTTTTTATTTTCCCTAACTCATCTATTAACTATTTAGAACGATCGGTTATTTTTTAGTTTTTTTTTGTCTACAGGTTCAGAACTAAGTCCACGAGTTTTATCACATAGGAAATTGAAGATTTTTATATTAGCAAAATCTGTTGCACTAGATTATTTTCTACTCTTTTATGATGATTCATGCTTGGGCGAATGTTACGGTTTCATAATGTCTAAACCAAAATTTTGTTGTTATTGGTGCAAGATGTATGATAATTTATTTTTAAATAAAATTCTTGGCAAACTTATTGTTTTATTGGACTATAAATTGTGACAATTTATTTTGGGATTGCTGACGCAAAGGGGACTGCAACAAAGTTTCGATTCGAGGTTTTTTCATTGCTTCATCTTAGTATCTTGTAAGTACAAAGTCTTTTGGTCTATCTCTTGATAAGTTTTCAATCGATATATTAAACGTATCCAAATGTCGATTTCCTTGTACATCCTTAATCCATCCAATGCGTACTATAACGTAAAAACACTATTGAAAAAAAAATATCTTTTATAAAGATAAATTATGTTTAAGATTAAAATTGAAAGATATTGTATACGGATACAAAATGGTACGCATCTCAGTTCTTCCTATACGTATCTTTAAATGCATACTTGTTTAATTTTTTTTATCATTTACGTAGTCATAATATAATGTAGTGATAGCGTAGTGATGTAGACATTAATATCGAATTGTGTGGTCTTGAAATATCTTTCAGAATGATGATCACAACGAAAGGTAGTTAATCCAAACCGTAAAACGTATATACAAATTATATATTTGACTATATTGTTCACAATAGTGAACAGAATATAAGAATTTAAACAAAATTAATTAGAAACATAAGCGCCATCTGGTGTTCAGTGGCACATTTCTTTAAATTTATTTTAATTAAACTTATTATTTATACTAGACTTTTTACACTTGTATAAATATTTTGGTTTTTATATTCGTTTCCTGCATTCTTAATAAATACCAACATTCTTTTAAAACAAATATAGATAGAAACCTAAAATAGGTTTTGAAGTAATTATGTACCTACTATCCCTGCCTTAAAAAATTAGGTAAAGTTTGAAATTCTAATACCCTTGTCCTTCTAGACAACCATTATCCAATTGTAAGTAATGACATAAAATAGTTGCGTATTCATTCATATTTACAACGCGGCGTTTTATTTATACCTTTCCCGCTTATCGGCGCAGCTCGTCGCTCAGCTTAGTTGCCATACGGGCAGCGCGGTGGCTACTCGTACCTCCCGCGCCCGTACTGTACCGCGTGCTGCCCTCTAGCGGAACTGCACTTGGCTGTCAGTGGTGACCTTGGAGCGGTTTCTGCGTTCGTTGGCCGCGTCGCGCTCCTATCCGCTCCCTAAACTATGTCATTTCAACATAATGTAATAGAACGGGACTCTAGTAAACCGCGTGTGCTATTCCATTTGTGCAGGTGGACGATATCGCACGTCACCTGTGAAAATGCTGTGAGAAACGCAAATATAACCTCAATGTTTTTGTTGTGAATATGAGTTGGGAGTTAAAACTTTTCCGAAATGGTTGTAAGTAGATTTCATTGATAGTGTAGTGGAATTTAGAACGCATTTGAATGTACAAGGATCATCCTTATAGCAATGTGGAAATATTACATATAATAGGCGACAATCGTTTTAACAGCAGACAAAGCCGTGATCTCTGTATTCTAAAAATAACCTGTGCTGTAAGTAATGGCGGTTAGGTTAGGTTAATCAGCAGTTTACTTTGAGTTGGATAATTAATTGTGGAATTATGGCTTTTCGCTATCGCTTGTAAAAGCGAATCACGTTTATTTGCCGTGCTTTTGTGTTGCCGACTGAATGACTCGTTTTAACTATATTGGAATTCTTGTTGGAAACCTAGGAACAGGTTTTGTCATTCACATATTCTCAGAATAAACAATATCCACCCATCTCGATACTTAACTCGGCTAGAAATCTTTTTTTACGACCTAGTTTTACTATTAATAAATCCCTTAATTTTATGTAAATTACAACGTACAATTGTGTTTAGAATTGATCTTGATTCAGCGCTATAATTCTAATATTTTAAATAACTTTGATTTTATATCGCAAAAAGCATCCCTTATCCAAAAAGTTTCCTCGTCCTGTCTCTCTGTTAACTTAAGGTATCCTACGCAAAGAAAGAAACTTATAACCTCTTTTTTAATAGCTTTAGACAGATTTTACATTGAAAACCTATCTCAAAAAAAAACAATAGTACGTAAAACTGGCTCTATCATCTTTCTTATCTAGAGTTAATTTCGTTAAACATAGACGAAACGGTTTATATATTTTTTTCAATATCAGCGTATGCTTTAAGTGAATCTAACGTTAACGTAATAACAACCAATGACTTCACATCACGCCATACATGCCAGAGTTTTCCTTATTATGTAGCCAAATTATGTTTTATTCAATATACCTAAGTATAAACTACAACGTTCATTGCATTACGTCAAACATTTCCTTTTCAACATCTCCAGATGTGCTTTCGTCTTGTTTTGGTTATTAGGAGATCCGCTGACTGGAACAGAAATTCTATTAAACTTCACGGCCTTATCTGTACCTGTCGACGGTCGCTTATGACCCGATATTCCACCACTTCAATATTCAGCGAAATTATAATTATATGATTAGAAACACGTTGGCCCCCAACCACCCCCCCCCCCCCCCCCCAAAAAACCCCCCCCCCCCCCCCCCCCCCCCCCCCCCCCTTTTTTCCCCCCCCCCCCCCAAAAAAACCCCCCCCCCCCCAAAAAAAAAAAAAAAAAAAACAAGGGGGCCCCCCCCCCCCCCCCCCCCCCCCCCCCCCCCCCCCCCCCCCCCCCCGGGGAAAAAAAAAAAAAAAAAAATTTTTTTTGTTTTAAACCCCAAAAAAGTTTTTTTTAAAAAAAACCCCCCCCCAAACCCCCCCCCCCCCCCAAACACATAAAAAAAAAATTTTTTGGGGCGCCCCTATTTTTAATTGCATTTTTCCAGACTCTATATAAATATTTTATACGTATATGGGCCAAAATACTTTTTTATGCCTAAAAACCAGTCCCTGGAATTAACATTACATTTAATGCGAGTGGGTTACAAAATTGTGACAATAGTATAATTATTTTAAAATTTAACATTATTATCTAATACAAAACACATGATTTGAACTGAAATAATTGTTATTAATTGAAAATTTACAGTAACAAAGTTGCCATTTTTAGTAACGCAGCCGTTTTTCATACTAAATATCTATGTCCCTGAGCATGTGTGCCAAACTATACGGAACAATTTCTCAAAATATTTCCTAGGTGGCGGTTAATTATAGATGGTATAATAAAAATGCAAGGTTTGGACGTTATTAGAATGGCATTAGAAACGTTTTAAATTGAAGATTTAGTAAAATAAAAAATTAATGTATCTGTGTCCCCAACGAGTAACAATATCGTAGCTACCTTGCGTTACTGTATGAAAAAAGACTTTAAAATGATTGGATTAAGGTTACTTGCACATTATTTGGTTCGATTTGTAGTAACTCGTTTAACAAACGACAGCAACAGCGCTTGGGCAGTACTCTCGCCGTGCTGGTCGCGTCCCGGTCCGTGAAGGAGGTGCGTGTATCTATTGTCTGTCTGCTGAGTTACCGCTGTTAATGTTACGTCCTGACGATATTTCACGTTATTATTGTTTTATTACGCATTTAGGTATGTATTGCAACCGTGAG